GAGGTGAAGCGGGGGCGGGGGGGGGGAGGGGCGGGGGGGGGTCTGGCTGGGGCAGGGGCGGCTGTGCGTGCTCCCGGGCCTGGTCTGTACTTGCCCCGTTCATGGGGCCGAGACCCGGCCCAGTTGCGTGCTGGGGGTGGGTTCGGCCCCGCTGCACCGCACCCAGATACCGGGGCGGTGTTGCTGCTGGGCCCCTGCCTGGGGGGAATCAGGGGCTACAGTGCTGCCCCCCAGGAGCGGGGCTTGAGCATCCCTGGCCTGGCTGGATGCTCCGGGGGCAGCTCCTCTTGGGGCAAAGGCCACGTGCCCCCGCGGAGGGGCGGTGAGAGCCCCCACCCAGCTCAGCCCCCTCGTTGCTGCCCGGTGCCGCAGGGAGCTGGGGGCGGGGATTGGCTGGCTGCCCGCCACCGGCTCCACCCCGGGGCCGTGCGGTTATAACGGCTGCGCATCCCCGGGCGGTCGCAGCACGACCCGGAGCCATGGCCGTACAGTGCAGGTCAGCAGCGCCTGGGGGCAGGGGCAGGCAGAGGGACCCCGCCTGGGGACAGCCACCCTGGGGGGCTGCGGCCCTCCGGTACCAGCCTGGGGTGCCAGAGCCTGGCGCTGGTGGGCGCTGGGGACCAAGGGGCTTTGGCGGGGATCCGTGGGGGGATCCCAGAGCCCCAGCACCGAGCTGGGTCCCACGGCTGTTTGGAGGCAGGTGGGAGAGGCCGGGTCCGAGACCCCATCCCAGGCCTGGGGGCTGCGTGCCCTTGGCCCAAGTGGTGCCCGTCCTCCAGCCTGCCCTGATCCTGCAGCGGCGTGGGGGGCTCCCCGGGGCACTGCCAGCCCCTGCTCCAGGGGGCACTTGGGGGACATGCCCCAGCCTGTCCCGAGCTGCTTAGGGCTCCCCAGGCTGACCAGCTTCTGTGGCAGGCTCCAGGCCCCGATCCTGGCAGCTCTGGGGTGCCCAGCCCCTATTCCGAAGAGCTGGGGAGTCCTGGAAGCAGGGATTGGGGGAGCTGGGGGGCAGCTGGATGGTGGGGGTACAGGGTCAGAGAGCACCGGGAGGGGGCGCGGGGGCAGCAGGAGCTGGCATGGGGTCCTTGTGTCCCCTGCCCTGCCCTGCCCTGGACCGCGTGCTTGGCCTGGCCTGGGGGAGGCTGCTCGCCGTCATCCTGTCCTGTCCCGGCTGCAGGGTCCTGGCCCTCATGGCCGCCGTGGGGCTGGTCCTGGCCATCGCCGCAGCCGACGGTAAGAGGAGCTGCGTCCTGGGGGTGTCGGGTCCAGGGCCCCAGGGGTGCCCACCCCGGGCAGCCCGGCCTCACCAGGCAGTGCAGCCACCATGCGGGGCAGACACCTGCCGGCTCCCGGGCACAGAACTGGGGGGGCAGATATGGGCCCCAGCGGGACCCTGCCCCAGTGGGGTGGCACCCCCCCTCCCGCAGCACAGCACCCCCTAGGGGTCGGCCCTCTACCTTGCCCATGCGCTGGGCCGTGGGGCAGGGGTGTCCGGGCCGCATGCACCTGCCCCCGGTCATGCTCTCCCCCATCTCCCCCTAAGAGCCCGTGAGTCCCCCGGACACCCCACCGCCACCCCCTGCGGACGGACAGACGCCAGGTAGGAGCAAGGCGGGGGCTCTAGGCCCGGGGCCTGTCCCCATGCATGTTGCCTGCCTCAGTTTCCCCCCAGGCAGCTGGAGCCGGAGCAGGCAGTGGCAGGGTGCTGCGGGGGGCAGGGCTGGGGGAGCTGCAGCGGGGGGCTGGAGCCAGGCACGGAGCCAGCGAGAAGGTGCCCAGGGCCGGACAGGGCTATCCCGCTTGTGTCTTGCAGAGCCTGCCAGCCCGGGCAAGCCGGAGGCCTCCGGAGAGAGTGAGCACACCCCGCAGCCCGTCCCGTTGCCCCCGGGTGTGGGGAGACCCCAGGGTGGGTGGGCGCCGGGCTCGGCCGGGTCTCTGGGGGCGTCGGGGCCCTGCCCTGGCTCCGGGAGCCGGCTCAGAGCAGGTTGGAGCCCCATGGTGCCAGGAGCTGGGAGCAGGCAGGGCCGAGCCCCCCGCCGGGCTGCTGGGACCCTCCTGCACTGCCCATCTGATGCCCTGGGCCCTGCCCCTGCCCTCTCACCCCTTTGTAGATGAGTTTGGCACCGCCGCCCAGCACCTCACCAAAGGTAGGGCTCAGGGCAGGACCGGGAGCTCGGACGCCTGGGCTCCCTGCCGGGCTCAGGCTCCGTCCTTAGGGAGAGGAGGGGTCTGAGCTGGGGGCGACCGGGTGCCAGGACACCTGGGTCCTTTCCCCGGCGCCCCCTTCTCTGCCCCTGCAGACCCTTGGACCGAGCCGTGGGTCCAGCCCCAGAGCCAACCCAGCCCTTGCCCCTGCCCCTGCCCCTGCCCCTGCCCCTGCCGTGGGGTGAACCGCGGCCCGCGCGTTGTCCTCCCGTCCCCTCCCAGGCGTGACCCCCGGGAGCTTCGGGGCAGCCGAGAGATCCCACACGGATGACCTGACCCGCGACGGCCTGGACACCGACTCCTCCAGCCTCGACACCCTCAACAGCGGCTCCTTCAACCTGGAGCCCCTGGCTGAAGGCGCCCCGGGTGGTACGATGTGGGGGGGACGATGAGGGCTGGTCCTGGCGGGAGGGATGCGGGAATGGCTGGACCAGCGACGGAGGCGCTGGGCCATCCCGGGTCCCCAGGTTGGGGGCCGCGGCTCAGGCAGCCGACGCGGTGCTTTCTCCCCCAGGCCCTGCGGTGGACGTGCCGGCTCAGTCCAACGAGTCCCAAGAGAGTAAGTCCCCTCAGTCCCTCCCCAGGGATGCTCGGCTCCGCCGGCTCCTTGCACCCGAGCCCGGCCTGCCTGCTCGTGACCCCGAGAGCAGCCCCGGGGGGTCCTGGACCCCTCCGGGCAGCCCGTGGGGTCCCTGCTGGTACTCACCAGCCCACGCTCCCCTTGCTGCAGGTGAGGATCATGACGTGGATTCAGAGGAGACCCTCGCACCCCAAGGTACCGGAGGGGGCGGCTGGCTGGGCCTCGCGCCAGGGCTGAGGCAGCAGCGTGGGCATCGAGGTGGTTTCGGCCTGGCCACGGAGCCTCCTTTGGGGCACCGGGGAGGCCCCCCACAACCGGCCGGGGACGTGGGAGTGATGCAGACCCTGGGCCATCTCCCCACAGGGATGTGAGAGCGCCGGAGCCGTGCCGGAGAAGCCCCCAAACCCTGCAATCGCCGTCTCTGCCCCCCTCCCGCCCCCGGCCACTCGCGCTCCCAGCCGCAGCCTGGCCCGAAGGTTCGGTGCAGCCTGGCCCCCGCGCCCCCAGCCAGACCTGGGGCTCAGCTCCAGACCCGTGCATCCAGCAGGAGCCTCCCTGCTCCCCCCGGACCTGCTTGGGCACTCGCCTGCTCCAGCCAGAGGGCAGGCGCCGTCCCACGGGGGGGCCGGTGGAGGCTTGCTCCATCCTGGGTGGGTGGGACCCTCTGTCCCGTCCTGGGAGACCCCCCGATGGCCCCTGTCCCACGGGGGACGTGGGTGATGGCTGCGGGGGGCTCAGCTGGGTGCTGAGCAGCAGCCAGGCGTGGCTTGAGGCTGGACCCCCACCCTGCGAACGCCCTCGTGCCCCCAGCTCTGCCCCCCGGCCGCGGCTGGTCTCTGCTAATAAAGCCTCCTTCAGCAACTCTCTGGCATTGTGGCTGGGGGGGGCGGGGGGGGCCGGGCGCTGCCGGGGATGGGGCTGTGGAGCAGTGAGAGGGGCTCTGCCCTGTCTGGGGTCCCCTCCCCCCCAGCCCCGCCGAGGATGTTGCTCCACGTGCCCAGCATCTCACTGCTTCCCGCATCCAGCACCCAGGGAGCAGAAAGCAGAGATCGGGTGGGGAGCATACGGCAGGGAGCAGAAGGCAGAGCAGATCGGACAGGGAGCAGAAAGCAGAGCGGCGGATCAAGGGGGGAGCACATGGCAGAGAGAACACAGAGCAGCAGATCAGGCAGGGAGCACAGGGCAGGGAGAAGGAAGCAGAGCAGCTGATGGGGCAAGGAGCAGAAAGCAGAGCAGCAGTCCAGGTAAAAAAGGTTGGCGCCCACTGATTTCACTGGAAGTGGCGCGAGGCTGTTGAGAGAAGGGCGCCCCCGGCCATTTGGTGCACACTCACCGGGCACACACGCGCGGTCCCCAGCACCCCGGACCGGAGCTGTGGGCCTGCTCATCCTCCTTCCGCTCCCGCTCCCGCTCGCTGCCCTGGTCTAGGTCTGGAGACAGCGAGCAGGGGCAGGAGGTGCCCGCCTGCGTGCTGCTCCCTGGCTGCGTGCTCGCGCTGCCCGGAGTTCAGGCTTCGTGTCTCGTGGTTTTCTCTGGGCTTCGCTCCCCGCCGCGGGCACTGGCTGCTCCTTTCTGCTCGAGGCCGCGGGGCCGGTCGGCACGGGGGTTTGCTGCCAGGGAAGGTGCCTGCGCCCTGCGTCTCCCTTCGGATCAGCCGGGCAGACCGAGCTGTCTAGAGCCTCGTGCGGGCTCTCGGCAGCTTCTCCGGGTCTTTGATGCCCTTCGTGAAAGCCGGGGATTAAGGCTGGAGGCAGGCTGGGGGCAGACTCGTCTCGTCTCTCCAGCACAGGAGGGTGGAGCAGGGGCACTTCATAGGAATCACCTGTGGGGTCACGTCCAGTCCCAGCCCTGCTTGAGGCAGGACCAGCCCCATCCAAACACCCCGGACAAACCCCGTGTCCGACCTTGGAGCCGCACGACACAGTCGCCCCTGACACAGCCCCTGCGCTCGGGATACAGGGGGGCTGTGGCCACCAACGTCCTGCTGCTGCCAGGGGGGTCACGGGTGCTGGAGACAGCCCATGCCCAGGCCGTGCCCCTGCTGCATAGGAAGGCAACCCCCCCAGTGCAGACCAGTCTGAGCAGAGAAATCCCTTCCTGCCCCAGTGCAGCGCGGGGCTGAGCCTGAGCGCGGGGGCAAGACCCTCCACCAGGACCCTGCGGGGTTGGTGCTGGCAGCATTGTCCCAGCCCAGCCCCATCCCCAGCCTGCGCTGCAGCACCCAGCACCTCTAGGAGAGGCTTCAACCCCCCAACACGTGGAGCAGAAAAGGTGGAGGGGGGCAGGATTCCTTGCACAGCCCAGACTCGCGCTGGCCCAGCCTTGCACTGGGGTCCCTGCTGCGTCATTGGCCTGCGATGACCCTTAAATCCTTTTCGGTCACTGGCCACCCGCCCGCAGCCCCCAGCGCCCCTGGCTGTAGGCTCTAGAGGACATCAAGGTGGTGTTTGAACAGGTCCAGCTCACCCAGAGACAGATGGGACTGTATGTCTGCCCTGCCCTTGTCCATCCCCACCCGTCCTTGTGTCAGCAGCACGTTCTCCTCGGCCGGTGCATCGACGTCCAGACCCGATGGAGACGTGCTGGGCCCGGAACCAGGGACCCCTCTAGGAACGCCCCCGTCCGACGACTCCCCGTCCATCCGTTAGCAAGTTACCCGTCCGGCAGCAACAGGGTGGGAAACGGGGACGCGGCACTGCGAAGTCCAGCCCCATACCAAGGTCTCAGTCTTACATCTAGGCCGTTTTCCTTTTCAACTTCATCGCAGAACGAAACCAGGGCTTCGGCCCACATTGACTGCTAACAAACCTTGTTGGCTGGCATGCGTTATATTCCCATCCTGTGATTTTTATTCATTTCACCCCTTCTTGGCTTTTCCAAGATAAGCCTGGTGTGGAGGTGACTTTTACCAGCCTATAAATACCTGCTGGCTTTTCCTGGCTGTTCCAGACCCGACCTGGGCAGGCCATCAGCACTCTTCGGCCTTCTCGAATTTCCCTGAGAACCCAAGATTAAAAAGCAGTGTCAGCAGGACAGCAACCTCCGCAGGCAGCTTCTCCAGGGGCCCTGCTGATCCCACAGACTGCAACGTGGGCAGCGAGGGCTTCCTCGCCCTCGTGTGATACCTGCTTTGGCACCGAGCAGGAGTTACCCCCAATCTACATCAGCTGCTTGTGAAAAGCGGGGGCGAGGCTGCCGCGGCACGGCTCACCGACCCCACGCCGGAGGGGAGAGGGAGGTGAGCAGGGGGCAGAAGCAGATCTGGCTGCGGAGAGCCTGGTCTGCAAACTGCCCGTCTGAAAAGGCTTTAACGCAACTTTTTTTCCCCAACGGCAACGATCGCGGCTATGCACAGGTCAGGGCCAGGGCCCCTCCGCAGTCCATGGCAAGTGCCTGGGCCTCCCCCACCCCAGCCCAGCGCCTTCTGGGATGCAAGAGCACCTGTCCCATAGCGCTCAGCCGGGAATCGGAGCAGTAGGTCACTGCTGCAGGTGACATGGTGCAGCTCAGATGCCGGTGCCCTCCTGTCCCTGTGGGCAGAGACGGCAGCCTCCAGCTGGAGGCTGGAGCTAAAGGCTGGCACTTACGTGCTGCAGCCAAACGTTAGCATGGAGCCTGAAAAGCCCGGGGGAGGGCATAAGGGCATCGTACCTCTGTCCCAGGTGCAGCGGGGCTTGCTGAGGGTGGGCAGGCGCCCGACGGGTCAGCCAGGAGAAGCGGCATCTGTGCTGCTCCGGGTCCTAGAATTCAAGCGCGGTAGAAGCATCGCTCGCGAGGAACCGGGACACGTGCTACTGCAGAAGAGCGGACGCCACGGGGGAAGGAAGGGAGGGAGGGAGGTCTCGAACACGCTCGACTTAACAAGGCAGTTCATCCTTTATTGCTCCAATCAAAGACGCTCCCTCGAAGGCCCTCGGCCCCCCCAACTCTGCAACAAAAACAGCCCCGAAAACTCAGCCCCCTTGTCCAGGGCAGGCACCTGGGGAAGGCACGGCACGGAGGGGGAAGGCGCGCACGCATGCACCAAGAGCCTCCAGACCACTTGCAATTCCAGAAGCACCAGAGAAACCCTGCTTTGGTGTCTGCTGTTTTCCTCTGCTGGAGCCAGGAGCAGGCGTGTTGGCTGGTACAGGTGGGCGTGAGACTGGCACCAGCTACGGCTGCCAGGGCCGCAGACCTGGTGCCGCTGGTTCAAACCAGAGCCCACGGTGCCTGGGTCCAGGCTGCACCACGAGAGCTCCCGGGCACTGAAACCAGGCAACGTTCGGGAGCGGTGGGTGCTTCGACCTTGCTCCCGCCCCCTCCCACGACAAAGAGATGACAAAAATAAAGCTTTCAATCACAGAAGAGCCACCAGGTGACAGGCCATTAGTTTTATATATATTTGTATGTATATATATATATATATATAGCTATTTATATATATATAGATAGATATAGATAGAAGTGGGCGCTTCTTCTCTCAGGTAAAAATCCAAAATACAGTTTTTACTATTAACAATCTGAAGTGTCAATGTACAAATTCTTTGCGGCCAAGCGAAGGGGAAACAAAACCGAAGGGACGAGGGAGAGAAACACGCGGAGCGAGAGGAAATAAAAGAAACAAGGGTGCTGGGATCCTCGGGCCCGGGCGCCCTCGCCACGTGCGCACGGACACCAGCGGGGATCAAGCCGCACGGCAGAGACCACAAAGGGACCCAGCCCACCAGCGCCAGGTTGGGAAACTTTTATTTCTCTTTAAAAACCATCCAGTCCGCCATAGGGGGAGGCTGGGGGTCCCCCCTCGGACACACCCTCCCCGTACACACCGAGTGCGCCGCGCGGTCCCGGGAGCGTGGAAGCGTGGTGCAGCCCTGCCCTACGCCCCGGCTCTGGCGGGGAGCAAGCGCCCGCTGGACGCTGCTGGGGTCTTGCGCAGGGCGCGGCTGCCCCCCTCGGCGGGCGCGGAACAAAACACAAACATCACTTAGTGACTAGCTGTTTTGTGACCACCCAGGTCCTCCTGTCTGCTTCTCCGGGCCACGGTGCCTGTCTAACCTCTGTGGCAGGTCGAAGGGGAGCACGGGTCGGGGGCCTGTGGCACGGCCGTGCCCCCCAGGGTTGCCAGCCGGAGGAGCACTGGGTGGCTAGACTCTAAAGCAGATTTCAAACACCTCATTAAGCGCACACACAAATGAAATCCTCACAGTGCCAGGGAAGCAAACATGAACCAGAGGGTGTTTAGAGCTTGCAATGTCTGTGCGAAGCGAGGAGGCTGAGGGCCGGGCTTCCCTTTAGTGTGCAATCTCTCTCTTGCCCTACATTCAGCTTTAGGATACCGCAGGGTCCTTGGGCTTGGCCTGCTCAGTCCCAGACAGGAGGGAGATGGTGGGGTCTTCCGAGTACTCGTCCCCGTCTGTAAAATACGGCCCTTCCCCCAGCTCGAAGAAGATGGGCAGGTCTCCGCTTCCCATGTCGACGGCGCTTGAGTCCACCAGGAAGAGGGGCTGGGCTGTGTAGTGCACCAGCTGCTTTCCTGCAAGGTGAGGGTGCAGGTGAGGCCGGTGCATCTCCCAGCAGGTGGGGGGTGGGAGCCGCCAGCCCGCGGTCAGTTGTTCCAGGGGTGCAGGGGAGGATGCAGTGGGCAGTTGTTCCAGGGGTGCAGGGGAGGATGCAGCTCAGCAGCCTCTCTACAGGCGGCTGAGCATGGGGGCCAGAGCTCCAATGCTCCACGCTCGCCGTGGGCTTTGCGAACACTGCCCAGCCACCTCTCAGTTCCCCGAGAGGCGGCCCAGACTCGTCACTGGTTTGCATGGGCCCAGGGATTTGCTCCATGCCCTTTGATACAGGAATCAGAACTTAGGTGGGCCTGGCTACCAGCTCAGCCCCAAACCCGCTGCTGCTGGGCTGGAGGAAGAAGAGCTGTGCTGGTTTCACTCAGTGGTGCTGGGACATGGTTCTTCCAGGGCCTTGGTGTGCCCACCAGAAACAGGGCAGGGAGGGCCTGTTTCTGAGTATGCCTGGGCATGGGCAGGCTGGTGCATAAGGAGTGGCCAGCCTGAAGCTCTCCTGCACCATGCTGGGAGAGCCCAGGTGCACAGCACAGGAGAGCAACACGGCTCCCAGGGAAAGGCTGTATGTGGCAAACTAGGCCCAGCTAGTAGCTTGGAGCAAGCTTGCTGTTGGAGACAGAAGGTGGCTGCAGTGCAAAGGGAGGGAAGATTCAACGTGGGACAGGAGGTGGGAACACAAGAGGGGTCCTCCAAATGCACAGCTTGTAAAAACTTGCTTCTAGGGAGATGTTTCCCAGCCAAGTGTGGCGAGAGAAAGACAGAACCAAGTCTGTGGGCACCCCTGACCTGCGCCGGGAGGGACACGGGTGTAGCAGGGGGGCAGGAGTATGAGGGAGCCCCTGCCTGAGGCCATGGCCATGCACCCCCATCCCATGTAATCACACAAGGTTTTTGGAGAGGAGGGAGAGGCTGGTACCCCAGCTGACCCTGCTCCAGCACAATGCCAGGGGAGAGGCAGCCTTACCCATGTCTGCTGCACTGGCCTCTGTCTCAGTAGGTTTCTGCTGTTCCTGGGAGGAGAGGAGGTCCTGAATCTGCGGGGACACAAGTGAGGCTGGTGAGTGTGCAGCACATGGCGAGCTCCTCTGTGCTCCGACCAGGGAGAGGGAGGGGATCTCAGGGCCGGTTGTATGTGCAGAACTGCAGTTTAGTCTGGCAGCCCCTAAGCAGCACCTGCTAAAACACACCTGAGCCAGGGGGCAGGCGCAGGTCCACAGAGTGACCTGCCTTGTCACTGTGTAAGTGCGGAACGGATGCGTGCAGCCCTGTCCCGGGTTAAGTTACATGGCTCCACATGCCCCGCTGCCAAGTCGTCTTTTGGTTAAGCTGGAACTTGCTTCCCCTGCCCAGCCACAAGGCACTGGCAGCTGCTCTTGGTGACTCTGGGACTGGCCGCTCACTCACCTGCTGCAGTCCCATGTCATTTATGTGTGGGGACATAAACCCGAGGTAAAGTACACGCGTGTCTGCGCCCATGGGGCTGTTATCAGGGAACTGCTGCAGGCTCCAGTGACAGTGTCAGGGTGCCACGGGGCAAATCTGCATGAATCCTACTTGGTTTTGCAGAGAAGCGGCCTGAGAGGCTGCAGGTGTCTCTGTAGCCCTTACAGGCAGCAATCCGAGCAGGCTTGCCATGTGCCCTCCGCAGTCGCCACAGCAGTACTGCAGACAGCTGGAGGCCTTTGGGCCCTGGTAACCCTGGGATGAGCTATGTTCGGACATCGGTGCTGCACTGACATCTTTACCAAGGAAACAAGATGGGGCCACAAGGATGAGAAGGTGGATTAGGGTTTAAAGAAGAGGAGAGAAAACAGCAGGAGGTGGAAGAATCCTCTGGCCCCATCCTGGAAGGTCAAATAGCACTGGAACAGGGTGTTAAAGACAAGCAGGCCAGGCCAGAAGCTGACATGTTATCAGGCCAAGAGTTGTCACCCATCCAGGACCAGATCAGCTGTGGTGTTCACATCTGGGCTTCCCTAACCCTTTCCCTGTGTGACTGTGCTGACAGAGCCTGCCCCTGGGGCTGTGTTCCCCACCCTCTACAATCAGGCAGTATCGCTGTGGCCACTATGGCAGATTTCTGTGGAAAAGCCACCTCTGGAGAGGGCTTAAACACACACCTAGCTTCTGACACTCCTGTCCAGCAAGCAGCAAGCTGTCTGGGAACACCCGGCTCTGCAGGCTGGGGAAGTGTGCACAGCGGTGCCCCACAAAGTGAGGACAGCGTCAAATCAAATGTCCGGCCAGCCTTGTGCAGGGGACGGGCGAATGACATGCAGGCAGACCCCTGAACCAGTCAGGCCGTGAGCTCCAGGGAGCCCAGTCAGCAGCTGGTGTCAGATCAGACACCGGCGGCTGCCACCACTTTGCTTCTAGCAGGAACATCGATGCACCCCAGTTGAAGTCCCCAGTCTTAGCTTCAGGCAACCCCCAATGTCCCTGGAGAGGCTTAAAAACACCCTGACATACAGCAGAAATGAGGGGGCGGGAGGAACCAGGAGAGCCCAGAAGCCTGAAAAACCCCCATGGCAGAATACAAGCACCGTACGCCTAGATCATCACTGACCAGTGGCCCCAACCTCTTCTTGAACATCTCCAGGGACCGAGAGTCCACCTCGTCCCCGGGCATCTATTCCACTGGCTCGTTATTCTCACAGTGAGGAGGTTTTTCTGGATAGCCGATCTAAATTTACTTTGCTGCAACATCAAGCCGTTGGTCTGCGCCCTCCTCTCTGCAGCCAGGGTCAGGAGGCAGCTGGTTCAAACCGCGTGGGTGGTAAAGGCTGTTCTGAAAGCTAGCGCGTGGTCACAAGACCCTTCTGCTGACCTTCACCAAACTGCGGGGGTGGCCTGAGAGCTCACAGGAGCCCATCTGCCTGCGGGGAACCTGCAAGGAGGTCAAACCTGACCTAACATTGGGATGCTCAGGGCAGTATGACCCAAGCAGCAGCTACCGCTGCTCAGCTGCATCAAGGTAAGCACTTTCCTCTCTGCTCTGCATTTTCTGTTCCCTATCAAGACCAAACCAAGGCCCTTTGAAGCTTTTCATGAGATACTCTGCACAGCAGCCAACGGCCACAGACTTAGGGTCTGGGATGTGGAGGTCTCAAGTTCAAGTCCCTGGAACTTCAACCTCTGACCCCTACCCCTGAGATAAGTGCGATAACCCCCAGGCTGTGGCCGCTTTGGTGTGTCTCAGGTCTTTCCTGCTGGAGCTGCTTCATTCTGCGTGAATTAGTAAATCTTTGTTGGACCCCAGATGAGACGGGCTCTATGGCTCAGGTGCTCACCTAGGACATGGGAGACAGGGTGCAAGTCCTTGGTCTGAGTCAGGACTTGAGGCTAAGCACTTCTCAGCAGGCTGCTGGCCATTCTGGGTTCTCTCTCCTGTTTGGCCCATAAACCCCCATCTGGACCCCAGCAGCCTCTCCCAGTGTGAAACCGGCCAGTTCCCAGGAAAAAAGGCACCAGAAGAATCAGCATCTCTGAAAAAAGATGAGCTGCCGGAGATTTTCCAGCCTGCTTTGCCGGTCCTGCTGCTAATAGCATAACAGCTCAGCACTGAGTGCACGGCGGGCGCTGGGCAAATAAACAGTATTATACCGAATACAAAGGGGGTTTGCCTTCAACCTCCTCCTTCCCTGCAGCACACGCACACTTCTGAGAGTTTAGGAAACCAAGAAGGCGAGTTTATGGGAACCACATGCAGCTCTCCAGGCTTCAGTGCAGCTCAGTGCTCGGGGAGCATCGCTTGCATGAGAGATGACGTCTCAGCACCTCATCAGCTCGGCAGGAATGATGGAGTAGGCCTGCTCTCTGTGGGAGCTGGTCAGAGAAAGCTTTGGTGCTAATTGAATTATTTCCCCCTGGCAGCTCTCCAGCTCCTAACAGGGCTCAGAGACACTTTCTCCCCCCCACCTCCAAGTTGGGGCGGGCCTGGACTCTCTTCAGAGCCTGTCAGAGCCTTCCCTCGCTCAGATGGAGAGGCTGTGGCTGAACAGCAGGAGGCACTTTAGTCTGGCAGCTGTGCGTGTGGAGGGATTTTTAACAGCTACTCACGCTGGCAAGGCTGCTGTCCAGGTCGGGAAGATTCATGTCTGTAACCGTCATTGAAGGGCTAAACAGCTGCCAAAGGAAAGAACGATTAGTGCAGGGAAGGAACACGAACCCAGATGTGCTGTAGAAACTCGTGGTGGAGACTACCATGTCCATCTGTCCCTGCAAGGCACAGGCACGTGCTGCCACGAAACACGGCTCAGTGCCAGGTCCTTGACGGGGGAGATGGGGGGTGGGTACTCACATCCAGCAGGGCGCTCGTGTCCACGCTGAAACCGTGCGTGGTCAGCATGGTCTGAAGGTTATCCAGGCTGGAATCAATGGTGTCCAGATGCTCATTTAGCTCGTTCCTGAGTAAAAGAAGGCAGAGCAGAAAGGTCAATGCCAGGAAACATCCCCCCAGGCTCTGGGCTACTATGAGGGGCTCTCTCCACCCCAGGGACAAAGCTTCCATTACAAGCTTCTACTAACTTATAAGTTAAACCTTCCTGCAGGAAAGTGGGCTGGGTTTGTGGCCATTTTCACACATGCCAGCCTCCAATTCCACTCGTAGCGTCAAGCTCAGATATGCTGATACCACCCTGAAGCGATGCGCTCTCCCTCTCTCCAGGGGAGTCCTGCCTGAACCAAGAGGCAATCCCAGGGCGGCTGCTGGGTGGCGGCAGCCAGTGGCTCTGATGAGCCAGACACGGGATTTCTTACAAGCGTGTGCAGTCACTATTCCCAGAACGCGCCAGGAATCCTGATGCCCGCTGGACTCTGCAGCGAGGGGACCATGCAGATGTCCCAGGGGCCCCCGGAGGCACTAGGTCTTAGGTCTAGCTGCCCGCAGAAAGCTGCTCTGAACTTGTTCTTTGGCCCAGATGACTCGATCTTCCCTTGCTTGTAAAAGTCCTACGATAGCTTTGATGGGAAAAGAGGAGGCCAGGAAACTGCTGACTCTGGTCCGGGGAAAAATACTTAGAGAAGTCCCCTATGGCTAGAAAACGCCTTTGCCATTGGCACAATCCCTGGAAGACCTGGCTCTTCCCTTAGGAAAGACTTTTCCCCAGTGACACCCATGGGCGTTGAGCTCTGCTCCCATTCACCGGAGTAAGTGAGGCCCTCCCTGCCTCCTAGCCTTTCTATGGACCCAGATGCACAAGGAGTCCGTGTCCATACCAATTGCGCAGCACGTTCACACTGAAACTATACATGGCCAGAAGCATTCAGGAACAGTTGAGGGGGCAACTCAGTGACAAACACATCAGCTGGACCAGGAGCGAGGCTGCAGTTTCGCCATGCCACCCACGGAGAACGACCATAAAGGAAACCCAGCAGACAGCCGGGCGCAGAGTCAAGGGTTCCTGGGAGCTGGGGTGCAGCTGGAGATACTGGCTATGGGGAGGAATGAGGACACAAGGCCTTCGCCCTGCAGCTCCCCAGGAAAGAGATGCACTCGGTGGCTCGGATGCATTACTGCTTTCCCCCTGCGCCTCTGCTATGAAACTCACTGACGCTTCCCGTGACACGGAGAGCTGAAGACAAGCTAAGTAAATGCTGCGAGACAAGCTGGGATGGGGAGGACTGGTTTTTAACGGGCACAGACTGCGGCCCGACAGACTTGGCTCCAGGTGATGGTTACCTGGAGCGTAACAAGATAACCCAAACTGAAGAGGCAACGCAATGAGGCTGATCGCTGCAATTCCTCCTCTGCTCACTTTCCTTGGTGTTTACATCACATATATGCTGGGGGTGCAGAGAAGGAGAAATAATTAGCCTGAACATCAACGCTAATGTTTAGCAGGTGCCTGGGTGCTACCTGGATTTGCAGCCTCTCTGGGAAATGCCCAAGGTCACCCTGAGCCTGAGGGGCTGCGACGTGGATATGGCGAACTTGGTAGAAATCCAGCGCAGCTAAAGAGTTCAGAAGTGGTAGACTTGGCCCACTGTACCCCCTGCACCAGTCCCCGAGGAGCTGCATTTGGGGTTAATCCAGAGCTTCGTGCAGCTAGTAACCCAGGAAGTGACGCCTGCCCGCTGCAGAGTCCCTCCAGGTTTGGGGTAGGAGCGCCAGCTCTAGCATGCCAGCCGTGAGACTGGAGAAGTGGTCCCTGGCTCAGTGGTCACCACCATGCTTCCGTCTTGGGAGGATTCACAGAGACAGACATGGAGTGGCTCAGCAAGCTTCTGGGTGGCTTTAGCCCAAGTGATCTGACAGCACAGGCTAAGGGCTCTCCCAGACTCAAGCTCGACACGAGTGGCAAGGTAGCTACGGCAGATGAAGGAGCATGTGTTATGGGCATGTGCAGAGAAGGCTCACAAGGAGCAGAATGGGATGCCTGCTATGCACTTCCAGTGTTGGCAGCACGACGTTAGAGAGCCCACAGACGAGAGATGCTTCTCCCTCTTCTCTGGAAACCTGCATCGGTTTAGGGCTTGTTCCTCCAAACTCCACTGCTCAGCATTGTCCTGGAGAGGACAACAGCTCCTTGGCCCTCCAAACATCTTCATGACCGCTACCCTGCAAGGAAAAATGTTCTGCAGCTCAGGCAGTTCTTGCATCACCCACTTGCGAAGAAACATGGTGGTTTCTATCAGGCATCACCCCTGTTCCTCCAACTGCACAGCATAACACAGCACGACGAATGGCCTCCCCACACCAGCGGTTACCCACTGACCCAGCCACTGGGAAGAGGCAAATGGTGGTTACTGCATCAGAGCTGCCATCCTGGAAGAGCAGGGAACAGATCATAAAATAAAGCCGAGTTCATCTTCGCTGCCACGATCTCCGACAATCTAGCGGCAGAAACAATTCAGCTGCCCGAGTAGACGCATGCACCGTGCTTCGGCCTGCTGGAAATGCAGGCCAGAGCGGGCCTGGGAACGCATCCCTACCTGCACTGCCCTACGCATGTGATTAGGAGGCACAGGATTTTGCCCTGCTGACTCTACAGGGAAAGGACTTACCTGTGTTCATTCGAGGATCCTACCCTGCACAGATCTCCTCCCCGGTTCTCAGCCCTTTGGTGTATGGCGCCCAGAAAGCTCTGCAGGATGTGAAGGCATTGGCAGCCGTTCCAGCCTTACCATTATAAACTGGATAGGACATGCCATGGACTTCAGGAACTACTGCTGGGATGAGGCTAGCTAAGACCATTTGAACTCTGTTGGTCTCTTCACCACCACCAGGAAGCTGGCGAGTAAGGGTTTCATCCAGGTCACACTACCGGTGAACGACAAAACTGGGATGAAAACGTTTGTGAGGCACAAACCCTGCAAAGGCAGGTCCTCACGGTCTCCTCACTTCTGAAGAAGGGAAGACTGGGCCGTTGCTCTCTAAACTGAATGGGCATTTGGTGCTATGGATTGGTTCCCAGCACAGCTTACAGTTAATGCCCTCTTCTGTACTGCCCCGTGTTCCTCTTTGTCAAGCTGGCTCCCCCGAACACTCGTGCAGCAGGGAAGGAGTAATCAGTGTGATTCCCCAAAGCAGAATAGCTATGCTCTAACTTCTGGATTGTATTCTGCATGGAAAAAGTGCTGTTTACTGGACACAGGAGGAGCTATTACCCCTCTGTCTGGTGCTGGAGTCCCGTGTCCAGTTTAGGGAATGTAAAGAAAGGAGAAAGAAGCGAGAGATGGCAAAAAAAGGCTGAAAAACAGGAGGAACAGCTGAAAGCACCGGGTACATTTAGCATGGGGAAAAGGAAATTAAGAGCGGATGTGACAGTGGTTCACAAATATCTGAAAACTCACTGTAAAGACACTGGAGAAAAACTGTCCTCCCCGGCTACGGAGGGCAGCATGCAAGGTGATGGATTTCATCCACAGCACAGCAGATGGAGATCAAAGCTCAGGAGAGATTTCCAAACTGCAGGAAGAGGAAGACTGTGGCACCAGCTGCCCAGGGAAGCTGGAGTCTCCTCCTTGGAGGTTTTCAAGCAGAGGCTGGGCAGGCATCTGTCTGGGATGGGTTAAGAGCAGCGCAGCCTGCACCTGTGCAGGAGACTGGACTAGATGACCCTTGACATCCCTTCCAAATCTAGGATGCTACGAAGAGGGAGAAGTCCTGAGTTACTCTAGCTCCCAGGGAAGAGCAGGGCAGGTGACTACGGAGCGTGCTGAGTAGCACAGAGCTTCAAGAGCTCGGCAAGCTCTGCGTGGAGGTCTCGTGTGGGGCAAACCCCTCCAGAAACAGGCCCAGGGCTGTTCTCCTGGGAGAGACCCACAGGCTGATTTTTGTGTGTGGGAGAGAAGCCAGAAGACTCCCTCCTCCCCTGCCCTTCATTACTGAAAGGGAACTCCCCCCTTTCAAACTGATACCCAAGCAGAGGGCTTCTTGACCCCGGGACCAAGAGCTCCCACTCTTCTGGGGGGCACAGCCAGCAGTGCCAAGCTGGAGTGGGGGAACAGCGTCTGTCATCACCATATCTGAGCGGCGCAGGCCTGCTGCGCAGAGGCAGAGGCTTGGGATGGAGGCCATGTGACCCAGCCTCAGCCCCAGGCAGGGACAGCTCCATGTTTGCAGAGCGCGAGATACGTCACGAACCAGACTCGCATGCAGCGGGTTTGTGTCCCCTTAGGCGGGCAGAATCACACGCTGTAAATTAAACCCTCAGAGGCTTCCTGAACGAAAGCTTAGGCCTTGCCTCACCCAGTCACACGCGCGGTCTAAAGCAGAGCATCCTCAGTGTAAGTGTCTGGAGCTGGTGTCTCTCTTCTGGCTGCCAGCTCCACCGTAAGAGTAACAAATCTCTGCGGTACCTCACTTTAACACCAACCGCTCAGCTCCCACGGGCCGCTCCACACAACACAGGCTGCTGTGAGACTCCTGCTGTCTGACTTCCCAGCTGATGAAGTGATGAGGTTTCGTACATGCAGTGTGGTCTCTCTCTGTGTGGGCTACTTTATTGTCTGAGCAGTAACTATGTAAAAATAGCACCTTTTAACTCACCAGGCTGGCTCTCTGCAGGCCTGCCTCCCAGTCAGAGCGGCTGGCTTTAGCTGCAGGAAGATGGGTTTCATTTCTGATGCCACCACGGCCTACGTGCCAGTGAGGTGCCTTGTATCCTGCCCCCAGCCCTGTCAGTGCAGTTCTGAGCACAGCTCACTGCTGAGGTGGGAGGCAGAGAGAGCACAGCTTGGCTCTCCATCCCCACGGCGAGCCAGCAGAGCTGGCAAGACAAGGAAACAGTTCTGGCCTTGTAAGGTGAGCAAGCCTGGGTATAGGCATCACTGGGAGAGAACTAACCTGCTCTGCGAGTCTCAACCTCCCTTCCTATCCTCTAGCTACACTGCTTGTTCCCGTGCTGTGCTCAGCTAGCAGCTGCCCCACAACACAAGGTAATGGGTAGTGCCACTGCTGGCAGCAAAGTGGGCTGTCTGCAGGGCCAGTGAGAGCACAGGTCCTAGCTAAAGCCTGCATCAGCAGTGGAGCTGTGAAGCTTCGCTCCATGGCTCCCAGGTTCTCTATAAAGCGCGGCACGCAGGACATGCTGCTTTAGCAACAAGCAGCTCTCGCAGTGCATGTTAACAACGGCACCTCAGAGCACGGTGAGGTTTGCTACAGGGAGCGTCATTGTTCTCTCGCTATAATATGGCATGGAAAATGCACCAGGAAATGTTCAAGCCCTGGGCTCGCCCCCGATCCCAGCGAAATGCTTCATTATGCGTGTGTGACTTTCATGCCGACAAGAGATGCCGAACTGGCCAAAGCTTCTGTTCCTCCACAGAACAGGGCCAGCACGGACAACAGCTGCGCAGCCTCCCTGCCACCACCCTGCCAAGACCACCTACGGGGATAAGAGGGGAGCTCAATCTCCACAACCTGTTCGGTACTCGGTCTTTCCAACGAGCCCCTTCGTGCCAGTTTGTACGTGGTGTTTTTTGTGATGTGGACTCCGAAGAGCTGGCTACAAGGTTACCCCTGAAAGGAAAGCTGACCTGGAAGCAAGGACAGCGTGCTGTCCAGTACAAGTGTTCCCCTGCCCCGGCCCAGAACTGCAGTGCTTGGGGACAGCAGGCTATTGAAATGCTAACCCTTGCTGTGCTCTGCAGTGATGTGAGGAAGAGGAAGAACTGGGGAAAAGACGAGTGACCTCTGACATCTGCGGAGTGCGAGTCAAACTGAAAAATACAAACAGAAGAGGACACTAGATTCAAGAGACCGGGCATCACACACTTTTAGGAATGAAACATTGGTTACTTCCCAAGGCAAGAATAGTTAGTCAACCATGCTCCTGTGAGCTAGAGGAAGGGGCAGCCACGTCCCTGCAGGCCCTTCCTTAGCAGCCAGGCTGGGGCAGAAACGTTATTAACAGGAACAAGCAAACAGAAAACGAGCATTCCCAGCCAAAGCAAGGCAGAGGGCAGCCTGGTCCCAGCAGAGCACAGCCAGACTCTGTCTCCACTAGGTATGTCTCTGATGAAAGCGTATTGTACCTCGGGGCTGACCAAGCTCCGTGCTGCTGTTTTAATCTGTGCAGCACAGTCACAGTCATCTTTAATAGGGAGCTACAGCCCACTGATAGCATGCAGTGCTCCATTTTAATCAGTGGTGCCTGCATGGGCCAGGTTAGCATGCTACTTCCAGGGATACGCTCTGTATTAATGACGCAGGCGGCAGCATTCTTCTCCCTCTAACTGGCTCTGCCTCTTGAAAAGGTGCTTATGGGGCCTTTAGCTGGAAAATGTTTGGGTTTGGATAATGTAACTTCTGTGCTAAATTTCAATCCAAGTGCTTCCTTTATAACGTGTATCCCAGTCAGCCAAACACCACCACATTCTGGGGTGGAAGCAGGACTCCTGGGGCCCTCGGGGTTGGCCGAAGTGTGACCTGCAGACTTCCACCACAGTGGCCTGCTATAGCTGGTGTGCATCACTGCAGGTTGGGAGCTGTCTAGTGCGAGCTGCACCTCCCCGCTAAAGAGGGTGCTCACCCCATGTAAGAACTGGGTGTCAAGGGGCCTGTGGCCAGACGCCAATGCCCCGCCTAGGTGAGCAGAGTCCGAGTGCCCCTGCTGTACTTTCACGTTCCTCCTCATCAGGAAGCACTTCCCTTATAACATACATCTCAGCACAGCATGCAACTGCCTGGGAGCTTAGTAGAAGCCTTGCAGGAAGAGGGCTGAGCCACAGCACACCCCTGGCACAGAGCATGCATTTCCCTGGAGCATGCAGCTAGCTTGGTCCTGAAGGCAGGGGACTGAGCACCGAATGGTGAACTGTGAGTGCAGGGCAGGCCTTCAGGAGACTATGTTGCTTGGTGTGGGACACTGAAGGAGGGTCTGATGCCCTCCTGGTGACACAAAGTACCCTGTGTGGCCCATCTAAAGCAACTGCAATGAGCAAGAGGAGTGGGTGACCTGCTCAGTGCCACAACGTAGCTCAGGTGTGCATGCTGACCCCTTCCTGCTGGGCACCCAGGACACTTGCTGACAACGGACCAACTGCAGCTGGGTGCAGAGCCTGGGCAGCCACAGATATTGATGCCAAGGCCTCATGTTCTAGAAATACTGACCGTGGCGTGGGTCAGAAGCGCTCTGGAAGGACAGACGGTGAAGTGTCCAGATGTACTAGGGGGCACGTGAAAACAAAGTGGTGCTGGGAGACTGCCCAGACTTTGTCTCCAGGAAGTGGAGGGCAACAAAAATGGTTCAGGGCTGGGGGACAGGACTGGTGAGGAGAGGCTGAGGGACCTGGGTTGATTTAGTCTGGAGAAGAGAAGACCAAGGGGGATTGAATAGCAGCCTTCACCTCCCTGCAGGGGGGCTGCAAAGAGGATGGAGCTGGGCTGTTCTCAGTGGGGGCAGATGGCAGGACAAGGAGCAATGGGCTCAAGCTGCAGCAAGGGAGGCTGAGGTTGGGTATGAGGGAAAACTCTCTCACTGGGAGGGTGGTGAAGCACTGGGACAGGTTACCCAAAGATGTGGTGGGATCTCGATCCTTGGAGGTTTTTAAAGCCTGGCTAGACAAAGCCTTGGCTGGGATCAGTGGCAATGCGTAAGGGGTGCATGTGCACCCCCTGAGAGCGCCAGTGCACCCCGACCGGCTGCACTAGCTGCTTAGGCGACAGGCAGAGGGGGCAGGCGGGAGCGCTGGTTCCCCCTGTGCAAACGCCTGCCAGGGAGTGGAGTGCCGTGGCCTGGAAGGCCGCAGCTACTGCCCCCCCCCCAGCAGGGGGTTGGACTAGATGTGACCTCCTGAGCTCCCTTCCAGCCCTCCTTGTCTGTAATTCTAAGTGGGGGGGGGAGTGCAAAACAACAATATTATTACTGGTAATATTTTATCATGTTTTGCATGCTAGCTCCCGGGGGCAGGGATAGTCTCTCTGCTACACGCTTACCCAGGGCCAGCTGCTGGGGCCCATGATACACTACCGCTGCTTTCTTAAGAACAGAGGTGTGACTGGATGCTTCAGCACCGGGTGACAGTGGTGCACATGCAAGCGCTAGTGGCTGGTGGTGGCAGCACAGCTCCTACTTCTGCAGACCCCGCACCCCTCCTGGGTCAGCACTAGTCACCCCCCACTTTGTTACACCATTGCTTAAAAATGTTTGTGGCAAATGAATTAATCACTGGGAAGCGATGCAGGTCTTGCCTCTGCGGGGAAACCCTTATGGGCCAGATGCCTTCAATTGGTTATTTGAAGCCGCCAAGGGACAAGCAGACAGGAGAAGCAATGTGTTACTGCAGATTAATGACAGGCAGAGAGAGAGAGAAACCTAGAGGGAAAAAGGTGCAAGTCCCCAGGCAGGTGTTGCCAGGACAGGTGTGCAGTACTGCTGGCCCCTGCAGCCTGTGCCTAGTCCTAAGCATTCAGGAGGACTCGTCAGAGGTCACGCTTTCTGTCATCCCTGCTCATTTAAAGGTCAGGACAGCTCTTGTGGAGTTTGATTAGAAGGGGGATGTTGAGTTTATCCTGTGTAAAACGGCGCTGGCAGCCTCCCAGAGAGGATCCCAAATGGACGCGGGGATCTCGAACAGCAGGGATGTCCCAGCAAGAGGAAGCCGACACTTCCTGATGCTGCGTGAGATGCCGGGTTACATGGGACAGCCAACAGCCCCTCGTCCTCGCTGGAGGCAGCCCTCCCCTCTGTGCACCAAAGGGAAGGGGGCCTTTCAGGATTCTCCTGGAGTCCCCATCATGGAATACACCCTGCCGATGTGCCACACAGCTCACGGGTGCTCCAGTCATGTCCCACTGGACTGAGCCGGCTGGTCCAGCTCTCTGCTGTCGTCTGGGGCTCGGAAACCAGAGCTCACCATCCCCAAACCTGAATAAATAAGAGCTCAAGTCTGCTCTGCCATTCGCACAGGAGATGGTGCCTCTGCTACTGTGATCTCCCTACGGCGCAGTGCAGAGAGCAGAAGAGGGTGCAGGCCTGGCTTACAAAGGGACCTCAGGGAGAATCCTGACAGGTTATAAAATGCAACGCTTGCCCAGAGGCTTCAGAGCACTGCTTGGCAATGACAGCAGGGACCCCGCCGCTGCCATCCATGGAACTGCCCCTCGTCACCGATTAGCGTCCCATCTAATAAGTCCTGCACGTGTTTGTGACCACCTATGTGTGGGATTCAGAGGGGTGGACCAAGGGGATGCCGTTTCTCCTGGAATGGAGGAGGATTTATGCCGAGGACAGCAGTGACAGACAAAGTGGGGGAAAACATGGAGGAGCCCCACAGCAGGGCTGGCCAGGGCAGCCTTCTGATGATGTGCTATGCAGGTCTCCTTTATACAGAGGTGAAGCCCACAGGTCCTACCTAGCACGCAGTACGGACAGCTGCTTGCACTGCATGCTGGGCCCCTGCTCTCTCCAGGCTCCTCAGATGAAGTGGCAGCTGCAACCTGCCTGGTTTGACACCAGTTAGTTCCAGCCAGGCTGATCCCACAGCCCCTGTTAGGCCTCCTTTAAGCACAGCCACTTGCACATGGACTAACATGTACCCCGCAGGAGCTGACAACACGTATGCAATGTTTTTAGTGAGCATATTATACCTCTTATTCTCTGGAATTACTATTTTCTCAGGCAGAGGAGCAGAGCGCTGTGACCCCGGCCCTGGGAGTCACACTATTCCATGTAGCCAGGTGATGGCTTGTACCCCATCTTGGGGATACAGAGGAAAAAGGGGAAAAAAACGAGCTCCATGCTGGCTGATCACAGAAGGCTGCCGCCTGATTGGCAAGGCACTCTGAGACACGTCCCCGTGGGCTTTCAAAGCAAGGCAGCAGCCAGGTTATCGACATTTTAAACACTTAACTCTACAGAGCAGTGATGTGGTTGGCTGAGCCTCGGCTGGTCCCAGGCACATGCGGGACTCCTGGCACCGTACTTACTTGTCGAGGCAGGCAACGCTGAGGCACTTTTCTGGGGGCTGAGGCTGCGTGGTGCTGTTGCTGGCAGCAGCAGTGGTGGTGCTGGGTTCGTTCTCCTGGAGGATGGAGTCGATGAAGGTGGAGGGAGACAGTGGGGTTTCCACAGCCGAAGGATTCACAGGGCTGGCTTCCTCGATCTGGGGGCTGCGAGAGGGGCTCGGGGGCTCTTCTTTGATACGGACCACAGGGCTGCTCCTTAGACACAGGAAGGGAAAGGGAGGAGAGTGGTCACCAGGGCAGCCAATGTGAGTGACCCTCTCTGCTCCCCACCAAGCCTCGGGCTTGACACTTCCTCCCTCAAAGCACGTTCCCTGAGGCAGTTCTGCTATAGCCATGGTGCAGGGATGTGGTGGGACCGTTTCCCCTCTGCTTCTGCCCTCAAGCAGCGCCCCGGGCACCACTGCCCTCTCCTGCAGAGGGGCTTCTGTTCCAACCTCCTGGTACACTGCAGACCACAGCCTTGGGCCAGTGGCTTGGTCGAAGCTTTGCTCTGCACTGTTTTGCACTGGTGCAATTACTCTGAGCAGAAGAAATGACTTTCTGCTAAAATAGAGAAAAGTACAACTCCTGGCATGCCTACAGGTAGAACAGCACCAAGATGCCTTAAACCAGCGTGACCTGGCCCCTGGCTGATGGAAGCAGGGCACAGGGGTATGCACGCTGCAATGCCGGTATAACAATCACCACGCTGGCGGGCCACATTTCATAAGTGTACAGCTCCTCTGGGGGGCCAGGCCTGAGAGCAACTCTCTCCCAAAGAGCAGGGCCACCGCTTCTCAGCTTTTGCAGGGTGTGGGGATAGCTTTTCTGGCTGACCTCATTCTGCAAAGGTGAGGGTACACCTTGTGAAGGTGTGCGCCCACTGGGACAGAGCAGTGCGTACAAAATAAAGGGCCTGTTTAGCAAACCTAGAGACATTTAAAGGTGTGTGTTCCTGGCAGCGCTAGAAAGGAAAAGCGAGCAGGTGGTTCCTGCTTACAAGGAGGGATGGAGAGGGAGGCATGCAGGATTTGTCCAAGTGTCTTTGAGGACTCCTGCGTGCTTTGAGGGGGGGAACAAGTTGGCGTTTCTGGGCTGGGACTAGCTGGAAACTTTCCCGTGTTGCAGTGGGTGAGATGCATTTGCTTCAGGCTCTTCCAGCTCTCTGTTGACAGACCCTGCCACTGTCTCTCAGAGAAGTAATTAGCAGATATGCAACTGTTTCCCCCCCGCAGCTCCTTTGCACACATTTTTGTATAGGCAGGGCCATGTCCCCAGAGCCGGGAGTCATGGGGAGACGGCCCTTCTAGTGACTGAGAAGGCAGGCCAGCAATTCCCAGTGGCCTGTGGGACAGGGTCCCCTGCAGACAGCACCATGCAGACCCAGAGAGGAAATGGAAAAGAGAGCTTGGTTTCCTCTGTTAACACAATGACAGATTAGGAACAAACCCAATCTGTGAACGAGAGCTGCTTGAAGGGCCTAGTCAAACTCCTTGTAAAGTGGTGGGATCTGCTCATAAGGGAAGGATGCTGGCAGCTCTTTGGACTGCACTGTTTTCTTGGAACAAGTCATCAAGGAGAAAAGCTGATGCTCTACTGAGAGCCCTGGGCCAGGGCTGGTGTTTCACAACCCAGGCTGACAGAGAAACTCATGCTCTATGCATAGACACTGGGGGATCTCACACAAGTCATGGCTTCTGCGTGGTACCTCTCATCGAGACTGCCGCTGGGGGAGGCTGAGGGACTGGACTGGGCGAGCTCTGTCACATCAGAGATAATGGGGCCAGAGTTGGCTGATGAGTCTGGGGAGTACAGGTTGGAGCCACTGTATGCTGGGGAAGAAGCCTGAAAAAAACAAATCACAGTGTTCGGGTTAGCGAGGTCAGGGGACACCCCCTCGGTGGGCGGGTGAGGCAGGAACTGCTCACCTGCGTCAGAGGGCTACGAGTTCCTGCCCTGCAGTGAAGAAACACAGTGGCTAACGCCACGCTAATATCAACCCCAAGCATTCAAGGAAACCCTGATTCTAGCTTCCAAACAACCCTCACACTAGCTTAAAAATCACAACATGGTTAAAATGTAAAAATCAGAGGGTCTTTTCCTTTGCCTTCTAGTGTTCAGGCCTTCAGAGGGAATGTGTTCCAGCCTTCCCCCGAAATGGCGAGAGCTTCCCTCTCCCTTGCACTGGTAAAGGGAAGCTGAGATTTTTCTCCTGCTCACCTGACTCCAGGAGCCTGGGCTTTATGGAATGACAATACTGCCAGCCCTGCAACGCAATGGGGAAAGACAACTGCACCGAGAAGTAGTTTTGCTCAGGAAGGAATTTACGGACTGCCTGAGCAGGGCCCCAGCTCTGGTGACAGAGCCAGCGCCTTTCTGTCAGGGAGGGGAGACTAAGAGGCTTTTCATGTAAGGCACAATACATTCTCCATACAATTACGGGCCAAATGCTGGTTCCCTGGTGCATACAGTCACATGCCAGAAAATCAGCGGTAGAGTTGAACAATCCATAATCCAGCCCAACACTTCCGCTGAACTGGTCTAGGGGCAGCAAACTCTCCTCCAGGTCCCTCCTCGATGCTCCACAAAGTCAGCCAGTGTGCGACAACGAGGTTGGGAGACAGCTTGAGATGCTCATTACCATTATGATTAAAACAACCCCTGTGATTCTCAACCCACGCTGACTTGCAGCCTCCCTCTCCCTGCCTGTCTAGACTGTAATCTGTTTGGAACCTTTTCTGTGCATCAGTGCAACAGGGCCCCAAGCCTGGGGGTGGAGAGTCTGCCCATCTCTGCCCAGAGAAGTACGGAAGGACAACAATCATTCTGGCTCGCTGCGTACCCAGTCCTCTGGCAGGACAGCTGGGAGAGGCACCAAATTCCTGGGATGGACCGAACCACGAGGACAGTTGGTAGTTGGACTAAATGTGACCTCCTGAGGTCCCTTCCAACCCTCATTTTCTGTGATTCTCTGACAGAGTAAGTGTGCAGAGCTCTAGAGCCGTGGGCGAGGCCAGGTCCACATGTCTGTGTGCGCACAGCTCCTGTGCGACAAGGTACAGTCCTGTGGGCGGGGGCACTGCCATGCAAAACCTACGTGCCCAGCAGTTCAGCTTCAGCAGCCTTCTATTCACCCTTGTCACTGCTACTTCTGCACAAGAAAGAACTGTATGCGTGCATGTGACACGCATGAATGTGCACATGGGAAAGTTCAGATTATGACAACTGACTGCATGTTATCCTGGGCGATGGCTCATTGACTACCTACTGCCTTTGCTTGTCTCAGTCTACGTGCAAAGAAAAAACCTGTGCGCTGTTTCATGAAGATGGCTATCCTCAGAGTCCCAGTGGAGAAAAGGCACTGGTCGTTCTCACCTCCGTGCAGCTAGCTGAGGTCACCTCCGGGTGAAGGGTATAGGGTTGAGGTCTAAGTACATACTACCCGTGCCACATCCCACTCAGATTTCACACCAAGTTGGTGGTCTTGAGGTAGGAACGCATCTTTTTCGGCAGTAAAGACAAAGCCTGTGGCAGGGTCAGAGTCCAGTTCTCTCTGGCAGACGGCTCAGAAAGCTGCTCAGCCATCCCATCGCAATTCTACTTTGCACTGGAAGTCCTAAACACTTGCGTTTGAGAGAAGCCGGGCACCTGCACGTCTCATAATTAGAACAATCCTGTAAAGCCTGGAAAAACTCCCAGAGGCTTCACTGAAGTGTTTGCTGCGTGCAGGAATAAGGGCACTTTTAAAAGGAGACCACAGGGCGAGGTGGGGGTTGACTGGGAACGCAGAGCTTCTACATGGCTGATCTAATTACAGTGCAGCTTTTAATAGCATTTAGATTTTTAGGGTACTGTGAGGAGGGGTGCGTGTCTGCGTGCACATGCAGTCCGCTACTGCCACAGCTCTTCACCTCTGCCCACGGGGGAGTGTGATCACAGGAGTGGGTGGCCGTGGTCTGCAGGAAGGCCCCGCAATGCTGTGGGGCTGGGGCTATTATACAGCTTCCTGGGCACCTTCTAGTGTGCTTTAATAGCATGGAAGGAAAATGGGAACAAGCCTCAAGAGGGCAAAGAGAGGAGGGGTCGGTGCTGTGGGGTGCTTGTAAACCTCCCCACCAGCAGCACAGCATTCACAAAAGACCCACACCAGGAAGGGGCTGGAGGTCTGCCCAGGAAATACCACTTGACTCCCTAATGCAACGCAGATGTGGGCTCAGACAGGCCTCCAGAGCAACTGGTGCAATCCCCTCAGGGCAGGCTCTGAAACCCAGGTCTGCCCCAGGTGACGGATGCCGTCACGAACCAGCCCAGCTCAGCTGCAATCCAAGGAAGAGGTGACTGAGTTCAGCTCACCTATCCCCAAGGCAATCGCTGCTGAGGCAGCTACTGCTGTCATGGATCCGGCAGGACTGGGCCGCCTCAGCTCCACAGACAGCTGAACCCCATCACGTTTTTAACGAGCCTCTGCACTCCAGGCTGAAGGGCAGTTAATCACAGGCAGAAACTCTGTGTCCTGCCAAGCCAACTGGGCTCACTCGTGTGAAGGGCAAACAGAAATCCCAATGCAGGAGACCATATTTCACTTTCTCTGGCTGGGAGGCCTGCGGCAGAAGCAACCTGCAGTCCTGGGACTGGGCAGAGAGGAGCGAGGGGGCTTCTGTGTGTTCAAAGGAGGGAAGGAGCAGCAGTGACAGACTTGGAAGAGACTCAGCATCTTCCTTGGCTACAGGACAGATTCTGTGAGGCAGGACATCAAAAGGTCTGTGGGTGGGTTGGGAGGAGACAAAAATCAAGGACTTGCCAGGTTCCCACAGCAATTTAAAGGGAAGGGCACAATGGCAAAGATTCCTCCTGGGCCCATGGGGAAGGGCCTGCCTGTGTGCCTGCTAGAGCCAGTTAGCTGGCTGTGGAGTGTAGCATCTGATCCCTGCAACAGAAAGCCAGGCCCGAAGCAAGTGTCCAGTACGGAGCTGGCGGCACAGGCTCTGATGCGATGCTGCCCTCCAGCTATCCTCCTCTTGCACTGGATGGGTTACTGGATGTGCTTCGAATGAAAGGTTTTGCTAACACAGCCACAGGGGCTGAATATGTTCACAAGTGTCAGCTGTCTCTGCTTCCTCCCAAAGCCAGATGCCACCCCGATGCCTGCCTTGCTTGCAGCCTGTCTGCAGGGCTGATATTCAGTCCGAGTCTTCTGCCTCTGAATCAGCTACTGATTAACAGCTTCCTCCTCCCTGGCTAGCCTAGAGTGCAGCTGCCACTTTAAGACCCTTTGCCAAACAAAACAAAAAGCTCCTGAGCAAAGCGCGGTACAAAGGAGAGGCCAGCTGGAGAAGAGCCTCACAACAGCCCTCCGTCCCCATGCTCTGCTCTGCTCCCCTCTTCCCGAGGCCTGGAGCACGTGGCGTACTCACTGCGTATGGGGATGAGCCGTGGACGTGCTCCAGAGAGTACTGGCGGCTGTACTTGGGCATGGAATGTGCTGAACTGCTGTCGTTCAACATCAGAGGGCTGCAAGAGAATCCAAAGCACCATAAGGGAGCTGCCAGCTGTGCCCCAGGTGCCGAGAACAGAGGGTTGGGACTTGAGCCAGAAGCCCCAAGGGCCGATACGCGGTACGCGATACACGGCTGCACCTGGGCCTATGAGTGGTGGCGGGAGGGTGTGCTGGAGTGCAGCGGAGCAGCCGGGCCCAGGGTGCGCAGAGGAGTCCAATTCATCATGACACCATTCTCCCACCAGGCAAAGCAGGGGCAGGGAACCACTGGTCTTTCCACTCTTATGTATGCTTAAAAATCCTGAAAATCCCTCTTTGGGTCCTCAGCACACCTGGCAGTAGCTACCCCTAGGATCAAAACCCAATATGCTGGGGCTAAAACTTCCCCATCTCTCCGATTCCCATGGGCAGAGACACATACACGTGACCACAGAGCAACACCGAGCCCTGTTAGCTCTGTTCTGCTCTGAGTGATGAGGCTGTAACCAAAACTGGGCCTGTGGGCAGCTCCAAATCTAACCTGGCAAAGTAATGTGGGCAGCTTGCAACATCTGAGCAGTAAACTGCTTTGCAAGTCAATGCTGTGATGTGTTTGTGATGGGGATTACGGGACATGGTGTCCGCAGCTGCAGGGCACTGATCACTGGTCCAGACAGTTCCTCCCAGTCCCATGTTTCTTCACTAGGGCAGCAAACAGCATGGTAGTGGCAAAGGGGGTTGGGTGGTAAGTCTAAAGCCTTTAGCAGCTTTTTACTTTGCAAATCTCATTTTTTGCAATGGTTTAGGAGAAAAAGAGGTTCTGCAAGAATTCATAGGGTTTGGTTTGCAAGACTTGCTGGACAACAATCAGGATCTAAGCTCTTCAGGGCTTGTGGCATACTTAGCTGCTCTCTAGCTGGAGGCCACGGCTGGGTGCTGCAACTACTGGAGAAGCACGTTACAGAGAAGAGGGACCCCAGAGGAACCCCTGCCGTCACTGCTCTAGCCTGCTCCCCTTCCCTCACACCAGGAGCCTGTCTGCAAACTTACATCTTCCGCTTCACTCCAAGGATACGGTTTGACTGCACCAATGAAATCAAGAACTGGATGAGCTGCAGGGAGGAAAAAGAAACACTGCTATCATCAGGTGTACAGCAGCCTGTACACAGCAAGGGTGTCAACAGCTATGAGCCCAGCTCCTTGCCAAGGGGTTCAGAGCAGCATCAGGTGACAAGGCGGTGAGAAGGCAGACTGCACGGCACTTGGGATGATTTCCAGACTAAGAGACCAGGGCCAGGGAGAAAAAACAAAGGATCGGATAATTCAATTCTACACTGCAACACATCAGATAAGCCTCGCCCCGTGACATGGGCTCCTGATGCTCAGGATGAAAAGAGGAAGCAGAAGTGCGTGAGAATCCCTTTGTCTGAAACACAGTGTCCCTGATGCCCCAGTTCCCTGCAGACCCTAACGGCTGACTGGTGCCTGTGCCCCTGGGGGTGCCCTGGCAGGACGTGCAGTAGCCTGCTACACTGAGGGCTCGTCCACAGTGCAGAACTTCTGGCGGCAGACAGCAGCTGCCACGGGGAAGCTGGCAGTGCATGCACCTCCATGCAGCAGTGCAGTAGGGTGCAGAGCCCACTCTCGTTATCACCAGCTGCTGTCAGGGCTGCACCAGGAGCCTTGTCACTCGCAGGGCTGGTGTTGCTCTCCCAGCTGAGAGACGGGGCCCTGCTGCTTGCAGGGAGGCTGCAGTTTCTGTCAGTGCAATTCTCCAGCAAAGCTCCACTGCGTGGTGCCAGCCTTACCTTATTGACAACCTTCTGCTGCTGGGCATGCTTCTGCCTCAAGCTGGCTACTTCCCTCCACAGCGCCTCGTTCTCACTGGAAGAGAGGAGAAAGCTGTCAGGCGATGAGTCCCAGGGGAAAGCACGGGGCAAGCTGCAGCCGGATGACTGCAGGTACCCCCAGATGTCAGCTCCATGATGCGCTCAGTGGACAGGGGTGAAACTTTGTTTGCTGCTTTTGCTTTGCCAGTAACGCGCAGCAAAGCTGAGGCAACAGCAGATGCTCGCATGTGGGCAGTAGCGTTCAGCCATGCCCACAGCGCAGAACTTCACGTCTGCTGTAAGCCGACCACGTGGCCGTGGCAGGGAGGCTGCATGGACCCCAGGAGAGAACTCGGCCCCCTCGGCCTTGCCCAGGTGCTCGTGCAACGGGCTATTGTAAAGGACAGCCGAGACGGAGGAGTCGGCACCACACCCAGATACAGGACCTGGCGGCATCTCAACCTGGAGGCGTTTTCAGTTGTCTGCTTTGATTTCTAGCTGGAAAGCGTGTACCTTGGAGAAAGCCCCTGGGTAGCTGCCCTTGGTTTGCAGCATTCACCCCCTTTCAAAACTCTGTATTTAGCTTTTCTGTATATTTTGTAATAGCCATAACCAAGTCTCACGTGTGCCCCTAGCTAAAACACCATCCTGAGGCTTAGTTACCGGCTGGCTCGTGGAGAGGCAGACAGGTGAGGGCAGCACGTGCTTGCTGAACTGAGCTGTTTGTCTCTACGGCAGTGTTGTAGTCTCACAGGAAAGTTGGGCCCCTTTTGTAGTCCTGTCAGTCCCTGTCAGACATGGTGCTACCTCTACTGCTGAATGGGGAAGTGGTAATCTGCATTTCGATTTGAAAGGCTAACTCTTTGGTCTTCTCTGTTGTCACCTCTGCAGAACACTCTCCGGCCAACAGATGTAGCGGACATGCAAGAAATTCACAGATCGCGGCAAAGGACTAAAGGGTCAGGGAGCCTCCCAGCCGAAAAAGACCTTACAAAAGCTAGCCAGTTTGGAGTGGCGAGGAATAAAAAGGAGAATTTCACCCCAAAAGCTACAAAGCAGGACAGAGGAGGTATATCAGAAGTTTCTCTTGGGGCTTTATTGCAGGACAAATACAAAGGGGCACTTCATGAATCTGAAGGTGGCAAATATAACCTGAGAGTAAAACCACTTCTTATGTGGCAGTTTCTGCAAAAGGATCTCTTGGCTAGAGACGGGAGGTGGGACCTGGCGACTACTGCCTGTTGCACTGAACTTGCCCGACTGCTGGTGCTCCCTCCCGTAGCTCTGCCTGCTTACAGGAGCCCGTCCCGGGCAGGAGCTGTCAATGCCTTGGCAGAGGGCTTCCCTGCCCAGCTCCCCTGAGGATCTTTTTAGAGTAAAAAGCCTGTTTTCCTGAAGCAGCATATTTGACAGGGAGGAAAATGCAGGGGGTAGGGCGACGTGGGCCTGGGACCTGCTGTGGACACAGAGCCCAAAGAGAAAAACTTAGCCTCGTTTTTAGCACTGAACTTGAAACGCAAAAAGGGCCTGAGCCCTGCGGCTAGAGGCCCTCGGCGCTCCCCACCGACACTTAAGGAAAGGCTGGGAAAGAACATAATTAGACAGAGAGACACGCACAGCTGGAGGAATCCCCACAAAGGGTTAAGATGATTTGAAAACAGGAGAAAGCTTCAATGCTTTCTTTAGTGCACTGTTTTACGAGGCAATTAAACGCTGGTGAAGAGTTTATAAGGGCCAGTTTCAAACATTTCATTTCAGGGGTTATTAAAAGATCTTACAAGTGTTTTATTTAGACAGTTTTTATAGAACAGCATAACTCGACCCCTCTCTGCACCTGCCTCTTAAAATGCTGCTCTCCAGGGACCGCCGCAGCTTGTCGCATGCACTGCACTGAAGGTTGCTCGCTAAGGAGCAAGGGGCAGCGTTTCTCAAAGCAGGGTCGGGACCTGTGCTCGGCAGCGGCCCCGACAGCCGGGGCGACCAGCATGGGGGCTGGCGACGCAGCTCCAGGCCCGTCACACATGGTGGTGGCATGCGGGCAGGGGGAAAGGGAGGCAGTGGAAGTGAAACGGCGCTCCGGGCCCTTTGCCACTCAGGGCTACTGTCCCTTGTGCTCCCCTTGGTTTCTTCAGGCAGGAGACAGGTACCAAGCAACGTAGCCAGAGAGGCTGGCTGGGATTATCTGGATCTTCCCAAGAAACACGAGCCCACCAACTCATCAGCCCTTCTCAGCTGGAAGGAAAATTGGCTTGACAACACCATGCGATTAGAGGCAGAGTAAGGGGACTGGATACCCTGGTCGTGGAAGCCAGCACCGAATGGTGAGACACAGACAGATTTTTTCCGCCCCCCCCCCGACAACTTCTGCACAGATTTAACCCCCACAACACACTCTCCCACGCGAGGGCCCTCGCACTGTATGGCGGCTGATTGGGACCATCAGCTCCTGCGCCGACACGGACGTGCGGGTCTATTCAAACCAAAAATGGGTGCCTTTATACAGAAGCCCGGCTTCCCAGCCTCTCCAAAAGGCCTGCGCTATCTTCCACCGAGGCCTTAGCCAAACACAGAGTCTCGCATTTGTTATCTCTTGAAGCCAGAAGAGAGGCTCATTTGTTATTATGGGCTTACATGGGTTCTCATGAGAACCGTCCATCCTATTTGGAAAAGAGTCTTCCTAAGGCAGCTTTCATTATCAGCACACGCTCAGGATAATGGTCCCTTTATCCTTCCTTCAGTGAAAACCGCTGTGGGTGAAAATCCATGGCTGGGCTTTATGGCTGGTAATTCCTGGAGTAAATTAACTGTCATTTCCCATCAAATATCCCACTCTTTAAACAAAATGCAGCGTTGCCAGCTCATATTTTATCATAGCCCCCTGTTATGCGGTGCGTTTCTAAAGGCCCGGCTTCTGGATCCAGGTGATTACAGGAGAATCTCAGCTTCCATTTTTATTCTTTTTGAGTCGGGTCCTAACCCCGAGTTGCACCAAAAAGCCGGACAATGAGAAGCTTCAAAGGTCAAGAAACCAAAGGAAAATGACACGTTTCCTTTCTAAAATCTCCTCGTTTGGCGGTTTGAGCACCTCAGATTTATGGTACTGAAAATACATTTTCAGTAGAAAAGGAACTACAACCATAACTCAACATGCTTTATCTGGCCGGGGTCTTTGCTTCTTTGCCTTTCTTCCTTCTGCCCTTGCAGTGTAAATAACTTCTGTGGGGGTCAAGTCAGGATCCAAAATAGAATTGCCACGATGGCAGGGCAAGGAAGAAAACCCTTGCTCATATTCAGATATATTGCAGAGGGTCGAGATAAGGCTGTATGAACGAGGGGCTGGGAGGTAAGCTGGGCATGAACTTATAGGGCATCAGCTACTCCCCAGTAAGCTCCCACACGTATGTTCCTACCCCGCTGTAACTACAAGGCAGTTCAGCCCTCAGGGAGGGTCACGCCACCCCAAGTACGTGCTTCAATATTATATTTCTACTCCAAGCTCACAAGACAGACATGCAGCCAGGGTGTCAGGACCATGCATCCACAGATCTAGAAGAGCTAGTAGCTCTCATTACTGGTTGAGAAAGGCAGGTAGCCATGTCAGGCAGAAGGCAGGGCAGGGGACGCCTTAGAAACTAACTCAGCTCATTCAGCAATGCACATTTAATTATCAGGATTATTTAATTTTCATTAGTACACTTCTATATAGCACTGCAGCAATAATAAATATAGTATGATATATAATATATAATAAATACCATGTTATATTTTTATTATATCTTATATTACTCTGGAAGTCCCTTCCAGACCATCTTCTCTATGGCTTCTATTGCTTAATCACTGGTATTAGCACAGGGCAGAGGAGTCCCAGTCAGATCAGGACCTGAAGATGAAAGAAGCTGTACAAACACACCAGAAGAAAACAGTCCCAGCCCTCTCAAATTTAGAAACAGGAGGTCCCATCTAGCCCAACCCCCTGCTCAAAGCCAGCCCAGCCCCAGCTACATCATCCCAGACAAGGCTCTGTTTAGCCGGGTCTTCATCACCTCCAAAGATGGAGGGTCTGCCACCTCTCTGGGGAGCCTGTTCCAGTGTTTTACTACCCTCCTTGAAAGACAATTCTTCCTAATATCTAACCTCAGCTTCCCTTGCTGCAACTTGAGACCATTGCTCCTTGTTCTGTCAAAACCTAAGTATAAGACAAGAGACAGCAAACGGATGCAGAAGACAGGGGAGCAGCGTCAATATAACAGGCAGGAATCTCGACACCCCCATGGCCTGACTGGTGTCAGTTTTTCTGTAGACATCCTAGCAAAGGCGAGCTGTAAAGAGGGATTAGGAGTATAGCTTCGCAGATATTTATGGGGAGCTCCTCTCGAGTACAATGGGAGAAAGCCTAGAGGTACCTGTTTGCAAATCTAACAAGTGGCAATGGAAGCTGGCATCCTGGGTGGATCACAGCCAGAGCTGACTTCCAGATAATGGAGGAAAGGCAGTAAGTAGGGTGAGGATGGGTGTGAAGGGTCTTGAAAAGAGGAGAAAGAGGATGGAGAGTGGGTTCTGAGCAATCCCTAGAAACCAGTCACGAGGGACTTTGGCAAAAGCCATTACGGGAGAGCACTGGGGAGGAGCTGGGACTGGAAAGACATTAGGAATGAAACAAAGGACAGAAATTCCAAGTAAAAACTGCACACTCTGCGTGTGATAATCCTAGAGATGAAAAGGAGAAGGCAGCTGGAGACATACCGGGTAAAAAACACTTGAGTTGTGGAAGGATTTAATCAGAGAGCAAGAGATGAAGGAGCAGAGGAAAGTAGACTATGAGAGCGGGCGGAAGAGATCTCAGGAGATGGGACCAGGTCACTGGGCAACTGGAGCGGTCAGTGGAGCGTACAGTAGAAATGTCTGTCTGGAACAGGGGACGTGGGAAGAGGGGGGTGGAAGGAGGAAGACAAGCCGAAGGGAGCAGGAAGGTTGTATCATATTTTGGCAACTATTTCTTGATCTTGGCTGGTTCTACATTGTGTGCTCCTGTGTGATCACAGGATGAAGATCCTA